GACAAACGATAATACACTTTATTATTGCATCTACCACGATGAATAACAACAACCTTTTCCTCGATATTTCATTTTTACTTATGCCATCTGTACCATCTAGAATTTGAAGTAAATACAATGGAATGGGATACAAAACTATGTTCCTTGTGTGGCTAACAAGCCACATCCTCGCTTTGTAGTAGGCGTCTAGTAGGTGAAGTCAGTGCAGCCGAGTACCAAAGAGCTATAGTAATATAATGGATGCCTGCATAGCATGAAATCGTTTGCTGCCTCCAAATCTGCCTGTTCAACCGAGGATAAAAAAAAAGATAAAATTGATGTGGAGTGCGTATTAGCGACTTTCACATATATCAAATTATTAAATACTTCCAAATTTTGTAATGTGCATGTACAGGAAACTGAAATTGGTAAATACAGTTTGGAACATTACAATATTGAAATCGATCTTTTAAGACTTTTGTAAACAATGATACATAAATTCAAATTTTTCGTTTAAATGTTCACTGGCACGAACGTTTCCCCCTTTTAAATAAAACTGAAGTATCAACTAGTTTTATTCGACCGTTATACGCCCTCCATAGAAAAAGAAGATTAACAGCCAGCGCATGCATGTTTGAGGTACTGCATATCCGTTGCTAGCTAATGTTCATCTCCACGATGTTCATATCCACGATTGTCCTATTTGCCAAACTGATGGTCGATGTTGCCGCTTCAACAATCCATTCCATTCTGCCAGTAAGAACTCAAGACATCAGAAAGCATACATGTAAACATTTCCCGTCTCTTAGATATCTTCGGCTTATCACGCCCAGTCAGCATTTCTCTTGCTTTCCTGCGTTTTGAAATTGTACAGCCGACTCCCACGTTATTGTCCTGTTCCTCATCCCATATTATGCTGTGACAGACACACACACAATATACTTCTGCGTCAGTCTCCAAAAGCGTCTTCAGACGCCGTCCCAAGTACGCGATACAATTCACAATCGTCTTTATAACCAGGATTCCGCGTCACTACTAATGTCTTCATTTTTTGTATTAACATATGGTCTCTGAAATGAATATGTGTACGAGGATGATATAAGTAAAACAACGATAAAGATCGATGAGAGGACCATCGATTGGTCTGTCTGTCTGTCGGTCTGTCGGATAGTGCTTTGGTCAGTCCGTCGGTTGCTTCGTCGGACCGTTGGTCAATCGGTCGGTCTGTCCCTCATACATGCATCGGTCGGTTGTTCAGCCGGGTCAATCGATCGGTAGGTCAGTCGGCAAGTCGGTCAGTCGGTCAGTCAGTCAGCTGGTTAGCCGGTAAATTGATCAGCCATGAACATGTCTGTAGCCTGTATAGGTAGTTACTAGGGTGTTTTTAATTACGTCATCATTCTTTGACCTTCTTATTAGAATAAGTAAAATCAAATAAAATGTTATTTCGTCGACCAAACTTTTAGACACGATGGATTCATGGTCGCGCATTTGTTTTTAACAGAAAAAATCACCTAACGGAATACTTTGAAAATTAAACGAGATATTCACTTTTTAAAAGGTCAAAGTTTGAAAGGCAACAGTGCTGCAAATAGCCGCTTAAACATCTCGGGCCAAAAAGACGAGACAGTGAACAATATCAAATAGTAAATGATTAAATTATTTCATATGCACACCTTATATTCTTTTGTAAGGTATTTTTGCAGCTGTTTTGTGATACCAGCAAACGTTGGCCTCATCAAAGGGTTCTCCCTCCAGCAGGAACTCATCAACATATACCTAAGGTTAGCAGGCGCATCGTTATAATCCTTATATTTTCCTTCTCTAAATAATATTTCACAATCTCTGCGTTATAATTTTTTTTTCTTTGATATAAATACTGGTTTCAATCCAAGGCATGTTTTTAGCAGATAAATATGTCCTTCTTTCCAAAAGTGAAAAGATCCAGCATTTGCCATGAACAACAAGGGAGGTCATACCTTTTAAGTCCCAAATGTAATGACCCTCGTATCGTCTGGATTTACTTATCTTTCTTTATCGTTATTTTCGGAGGCCGCTTCTTTTGGGAGGTTTTTACTTGTGGAACTTAAAGAGAGGTCTTCAATACGTGCTTCAGACAGACTTCAGAACATTTTAAGGACAACTTAGCACCAACGAATCGTTTTCATCAGGAACACCTATAAAATTTGCCTAAACGAGGTCGTTGAAGTCGGGATGACTTCTGTTGTTCGGGGCTTTATTTCGTAAATCTGGTATCATCATTTATACAATTCTATGAGACCAAGAATGTTTTTTATTTCTCGATTTATATCCATGCCATAACTCCCTCCCGTCTTTCCGCAGAAGATAATAGCATCTTCAATAATTTAATGTGTGAGCAGCGTTGAAAGAAATGTCATAAAAGGATGAATGACGAACTTACATTTCCTCGCAGCAATGGTCGGGACGAGGCATCCGTTTCCCCGAAGAGAGGAAACTTATAAGGGCGGATGGTGTGGTTATGTCAGGGTATGGCAACTCGCCTGACCAGGAAAATAAAAGATACGTTTGATTAAAAACCTCACAACTACCATCACCACGCCAGCGTGCTATTTGCACAGTAAGAGTTGTACGTGCCTGTCCCTCCAGGATAAATTTGTCTTCTCTGTGAACTCGGTAATCGTCCAAAACTCACCTCTCATTTGGTAATCGGAATTCTGACTTTGCCGAGTTGTTTGAGGTTTGAAGTCATCGCTTTGAATGATGCACGATTGTTCCAAAATGACCCTATAGGGTCATTGCACGATCACACATCAAAATCTATGGTTTTCGAGGTTTCTTTTCTCTTCCTAACTAGCTGCACGATCTCGTATTGGTAGGCTTCAGGTAATGTTGACATGTATTATTGAGGACATCTAATAAGTCCAGACGCCTCTTGCAATTACTTTCATGCATCATTTTGAAATGATCATGTTTACAGACTTACCATAGGTAGTTATTTCCCACAAAACAATGCCAAATGACCACCTACAAATTAAATAGCACATAGATATTAAAATAACCACAAGAAGTAGGACAAGTCACCTAGGAGGAATTTTTTTCAGTCGGAAGACATGATCTTCCCACTGAGGAAATACACAAGTCATGAAGAACCAAACTGGAACATGAATGAATCATTTCCATAAGTTTTAAGTTTCTTTTTTTTTTTTACACAAGGCGATTTGAAATGTGGAGCCGGGTTTGTAAAACGAAAACAAACAACATTGCAGCAACGCAAATAGGAGTACATGGCATACCAAAGCCTTTAAAATAAGAAGTTCCTTTACTCTCCTATGACAATCAACCAACAAAGCACAGTAGATCTACAGTCGGTCCAACCGCCGCCATAGAAAAATTTGATTTAGCGTTGACCTTGTTTACATGCAACTGCCTTGTTGCTTTCTTGACAAATACGAGAATTTATTTTTTTTCAGAAAAGTTGCAGTGACAAGGGTAGACATTGCATCTACTCTCTGCAACTGTTGCATCAACCCAAGCAACACACGTACACAATTATTGCACCCGAAAAAAGGGTCCTAAACTAAGATAGCAACACATGCAATGCAACTTACACGTCACTCTGCGATGTATAAATCCCATCTCGTAAAGATTCTAAAGAGGACCATCTCCACGGAACTTTACCCTGTGGAGTAGAAATTTTGGCCTTAGAACTAATGAGTTTAGTGACCCCTAATGTTTGTGTAATGTTGCAGCCTTTTGTTATACTAAGAGGAAATATTAATGACGATGCATCAGCCAATACGAATCGCTAACGTTATGCTAAAGCCTTTATGTAATCAGATCTGACGCTTACTCTATGACGAATCCTTCATTACACTGGTGAATCACCATGTAAAGATAAAGAATACTTGTTTAAGCAACGCGCCCCATTGAGATGTTTCAATGTGAAATGTTTTAAGTACGTTAAGAACAAGGTAGGAATGTGTATTACGATGGAGTTAGTCTCATTACTCAGGCCTAGATCACCACATGCTTACATTGGAGGTCTTGGTGTATATGCCTTCATCAGAGATGTCTCTTGCCAGTCCAAAGTCTCCAATCTTTGCAACCTTGTTATCGTCAATAAAAACATTTCTCGCTGCTAGGTCCCGATGAATGCACTGATGAAAAAAATATGTTCAATGCTTCAAGAAATTCGCATGACTCGCAAAAACAAAAACAACAAAAACAAAAACAAAATGTAATTTTGGTATAAAATTACTTTACTTCATTTAAGTGTCAGCTAAGGTCACAAAAACGAACCACAATGCACACACTGTATTCTGCTCCTACCTTCCTTTCCTCTAAGTGCTGCATTCCTGAAGCTATTTGCAGTGCGATTTTTAACAGTTCTCGGTCATTGAACTCACAATTGAGATTCGCATACTTATTCTCCTCGCCACGACCATGTCTGGACCTCAACAAACTTTCAAGGCTACCCCGAGGAATTAATTCTGTGACCACAAGGATGTTTTCTAAAAGCATTGAAAATATGCATCTGATTAATTTTACATTGGAAGGACGGATCGACAGAGAGAAAAAACAGAATGGCCGACGAAAAGGCTAAGTGGCTGACAAACGGACAGACGCACAGACGGACAGACGAGCGGAGATGGACAGACTGACTGACTGACTGTCTGACAGACAGACGGACAGACAGACGGACGGACGAACAGACAGACAGACAGACATACAGACGAACAGACGGACAGACGGACGGACAGACGGGTGGGCAGACTCACAACATATCGACTGATTTGGAGGGATGACTGACAGTTTGACTTACCCTCCTGAGTGCACGCACCAACTAAGCTGACGATGTTAGGATGTCGACCAGTTTCTTTCAGGATCTGCATTTCGCCAAGTAGGTCAACTTTGTTGGTCTCACACGTGCTATCTACACCAAGAATTCAAACAGTAAAAAACATAAACTACAAGTAAGAATCATATTATGATGTACTTCAGAAAGAGGCTAAAAAGGAGAAACGTAAAGGAAATTTAACAAGTCATTATCAGAGGATAGATGATGTCACGGTTTGGATACTTTTGATTTATCAATAAAAAAAAATACAACTTGATTTCGAAGACACAAACAAAGGAAAGAAAGAAAGGGCCTTTTAGTCAGTTAAGTGTAAATGAAGAATATATATTGCACCTTTTAACTGCTTCACCGCCACATCGATGACATTTCCATCGTCTCGACAATACCGGCCTTTGTAAACAATTCCAAACTGCCCTTCTCCGAGAACTTCAGTTTTGACTTCAAGCCTGTTCAAGTCGATTTCCCAGCCTCCGTTGTTCTCCAGGGCAATCTCTTGGTCAAGGTAAATGTTCTCTCTACTCTCTGTACTGTCATAACCACTGTCCTTACTGTTTAGGGTGTCTGACTTCTTTAGCTTGGGATCTCTGCTCCGTGACTCCATCGCATACCAACATCGCACTTTGTGCTCTGTACTCTCTTTTCTTCTGAGCTTTGGAGGTCTTTTAGGAGGTGTGTCTCCAAGGCCTGCTATTGGACAGAACTGCCTTGCTTTTGGAGACTTTCTAGCTGGAATCTCAACTGTTAATTCCCCTAACAACGGATGGCCTTCAGAGTGAATTTCGACATCTGGCAGCTGTATCTTTTCAGACTCTTGAAATGGTATTGGTGACTCTGCAGGACCCTCAGTGGTATCGAACATGTTCCTGATGTCCCCCCGTAACGGTGTGTTGTTTGCCTCAGATGACGTAAGTTCGCACGGCAATGATATCCGTTCCACAGACTCGGCGCACGTATTGAGAGTTAAAGGAATCTCTACATCACGTGCCTAAAAGAGGCGAACAAAACCATTGCGGATTTTAAATTCGCACTATAGGTCAGAAACGCAAAGAAATGAGATCCGATGCTCACTGTAACATTATCCTTTTTATTTCATGTCCTGGCTGTATACAGTTAGTGGTAGTGTCCCGAGACAGTGTGAACAGATCCTACGATGAAATATATTACCCGATCTTAACCGACTTAATTAGTAGATATTTTTTTCGGATTTAATTTTTTCGTCTTCTCGTTCATTTGTAAATTCCATGGAGAAGGTTCATACAGTGCACATCAAACGCTTCAGATAATGTTTTATCAAATTTTTGAACACACCAAATCTCGTCAACAATAGTACGTTACCCGTGTATATTAAACTCTTTCTCGGTACTTCTCATCAAGCTTACTAAATAGCAGATCACCATAGTTTCTTTCATACTGGACTGATCTCATAATTAGTCGTGGTCTCATATGTAAACTTTAATACTGGAGGGGGACATGGGGATTTACGGTGTTGGGGTGTTGATGATTTTTTAATGCGGTGATGCGGTGAATAAAATCTCAACTTGCAGTGTTGCGGTGATCTCAAANTTATTTTTTTTGCGGTGTTGCGGTGTTTAGAACCTCCCATGTCCCCCTCATACTGGGTGATAGGATGTTAAAACTTCGCAATGCGTAACCGGAACCAGGAATTTCTGAAAACGAAATTTTCTTCACACCGGATGTGCCAAATCAAACTTTCAGTTTCTGAGAAGTCGTATACAACGAAACCGAAACAAAATCCTCATTGGCCCAAGGGGAGACTATTTTACATTAACGTCTTTGAAATACACAGCTCATTTTTCTTAAAAATAAGCTATATATGGGCAGCCCGATACATGGTGCTGCACCGTGGTCTCACTTACACGTCTTGATCGATGATACCACAGGAAAACACTAAGTCCACAAATCATCATGGCTAAGATGATGCTGGGTATAACAATAGCAAAGATCTTCGCTTTTGAACTGCTCGCCCGTTTTAGGACTGATGGACTGGGTGCTAGAAAAGAATAAAAGAAAGGACGAAAAGACCATGGTTTTCATCTCTATTAACAATGCAATATTTTAGGTGATAACAAAGTTATAAGATATTCTAAATAGGCTAAATGCTTGGCTAAATTTACAGCGGAAACACTTCTCATTTCGGCAGAAATCGCGTCCATTTTGAACCGCAAACAAAATTGCACCGCAAGTGGCAACAGTTCTTTTTTTTGTTTGTTTTTTAATACTCACCATTACAAATTCAAACATCTGCGAATGGCGAACCAAAAAGAGAGCTAGAAGTGCCAAAGCTCTCTCTGAGATGTTAACAACGCTCCCTACGCTCGAACTATTCACCACCACGAATAGTGCAACCGTAAAATCTGTATTAACCGGATACCGTTGAAACGCTCACTAGTGCCGCATACAGGGTGTCCGATCCAGGCAGGTTATTATATATTGTGCAATAAAAGTTAATTATTGACCTTTTTGCAACACAGTGTAAGGTGAAAGACTTTTCTTGCATAGTACAATGTCCAGACATTCAATGCATCAATCTGGAATAATCTATACTTAGATTTAACACGACATCGCTGAACAATGTTAAAGGAATCTGAGCTGAGCTTTTAAATGTAAAAAGCCGTGGTTCGCTTATTGTAGGCTTTGTGCAACAACAAGGCTTAATATTGGTGTCCGCGTCCGCTTAGCAGGGGTGTCCGCTGAATGCAGGTTTATTTTAGGGCAAATGTCCAATAGAGGTGGTCCGCTTAATATGCGGCCGCTTAAAACAGGTTTCACTGTATTCGTTAGGAGGTTTTTACCTACAACCCCTGGATATAAGAATGCCACTTGCGATTCCTTCACTCCAGCGCTGTTGTTTGCAACACTGGCATTTTCCGTAATCTTCAATGGTCACTCCTGTTATTACCAGCTGACTGAGGCCTTTGTCATCATCTGTTATGATCTTTGCTCTTGGGCTGGATTTTACCGAATGTGAAATACAAAGCCTTAATTTAGAATGAAATCGTGTGGCTAAACGGGAATTTTTAATAGGTTGGGGAATAATTTATCATGACTGATAAGAAGGATATTTTATGGAACAACCCCCTTACCAACTGGTCCTGGAAATAGGAAAGCCCTTCTTGATGCCATTACTCCAGCACTGTTGTTTGCAACACAGTGATACCTTCCATAATCTTCACTCTTGATTGCTGTCATTACCAGCTTGCTGAGACTCTTTTCACCATCTGTCGTCACCTTTGCCCTTGGATTGAATTCTAAAGAGTATAGATCATTGTCCTTCGCCCATGTGATTAATGGCTTGGGTTTACCAGTGGCAGCACAGCTGAAGGTTACATTGGAGCCTAGAACAGCAGTTTGGTTCACTGGTTGCTGGACAATATCTGGACTTCGATGTTCTTAGGAGTAATAAAAACAAAAAAACAAAAACAAAACAAAACAAAACAAAAACAAAAAAACAAAAAACAAAAAACATTAATGAACAATTTTGTAGTTCTTTACCGGCAATAAGCCAAATACACTCATTTGGCACAAACTAACCCCTTAAGCAGATGCTCTATGGGTTCATATGGTATGCAATCATTCCTTGCTTGCCATGACGACTCCAAAGAAGATCCGCATATAAAAAGGCGGCTTGCCACAAACTAGACTGTTCACAGTCTCTCTCTCTCTCTCTCTCTCTCTTTATCTTCCCTTGCTAAAATAATAAACTTTTTGCCCATTTTTCTGCAATTTCCTGGTCGGGTACCCCCTGCGAGTGCACACTAATATCCCATCTGGTGNGGGGGGGGGGAGGGAGGAAGGGAGGTGACGTTTAATGGCGATCGAATAAAAATAAGAGAAGATAGAGTGTCGTGGACAGTTTAGCCAGAAAGCAATAGTTATAACAAATATACAAATGTACAGAATAGGTAGGCGCATCCGAAGGAGCTGTTAATAGAAAATGATTATTTTGGTGAAGGCCTAGGTCCCTCCATGCCAGCACTAACTATTAGAGATGGTAGAGCTGGAACCACAGTAGGGAGGGAGGCGCTGGATGTGGCCCTGGATTAAAGGTAGCTGAAGTTTAAATGAGTTTAATGAGCATGCCACAAAATAGTATATTTAGTTAAACATTATTTCTTCTCTTACCAGGAGGATAAATTTCAATTCTTTTGATGCTGCAGCGATAGTTACTGCCTGCTTGGCAAGTGTAGTTTCCAAACTGTCTTAAAGTCAGGGCACGAACCATTAAAAGGCAGCTCATAGCTGCATCTGGTGGTGATCCTGCTTCACGTTTGCATCCGTTCAGTAATCCTTGTGGGCCAAACCATTGAATATAGACTGGCCTTGACAAATGTACAAATTTATCTGCCAGCTCATCATTTTGAGATGCAATGCAAGTGAGATTGAGCGGCGCACCAAAAGGCAATGTGTTGGATGACGGGCTTGATACAATTCTAACTCGGGGGTCAGCTTCACAGAAAGGAAAACGTAAATCAAAATAACTAACTGCTTGAGTCAAGCTCAGATGAACAAAAGTCCTTTATTTATGGGACTATTGAATGTGAAATACGTGTGCATATTTCACATTTGGACTAAAGCTAGCAGGGCACTTATTTTGGGCCTTTTCAAAGGAATGTTTATTTGTCTGAACAACAGCAATAAGAATGAGTTTCTCCAGCAGTTCACAAAAAAAGTGTGACAAATAATTGCATGCAAAATGTTTGAGTAAATGATTAAGAAGTCACACGACTTCTGAAAAACATATTGGAGCCGCCATCCTATCCGCCAACCTGAGAATTTTGAGGAAAGACGGCTTTTTGACACCAACAATCCAAGGGGATTTCAAGGGAAGTTTCGTATCCCCGAGGACGCCTTCATCATTGAATTGGAATTTTAAATGAGGCCGGCAGATTTTGAAATGGCAGAAGAGATATTAAAATTTGCATTTGTAAAAATACACGTGCATTCAAGCGGGATTTTACAATTGTAAGGCTATAACTGTTATTTACACTAGTATCCTGACTCGCGGTACACGCGTAAATTTTAGTGTAGAAAATACTTTTGTTGAATCCTTGTATTTAAAGCCGTGCTTACCACGTGTAAACTGCACGTGTAAAAACTACAAGTGTAATTTCTTAATTAAATTGACCACTGTAGTCGTATTACTATAAGTACCACTATATCATTTGGAATTTGAAGGAAAAACATTTGGACGTGCTAACAATTAAGAAAAAAATCACTAAAAGAACTTACTCTGCTGAAGCACATTATGGCATATCTGACATGTAACAGAGGGAAGGATAAATGGACCAGTGAGGAGAAATAATAAGAGAGTCTCAGATATGCAATGTTCCACCCAAGATAAGTAGGCCATAATCTCATGAACCATCAAGTGCGTTAGTGGTCAGTCTAGCAAACTCTGAAATGAAGTCAACAATTGTCATTAATGTATGCATTAAAATGCAGGTAATTCATGCCAAAACTGACAAATTGCTGCAAGGAAAAGGTATTGTTACCTGACACTAATTATTGAGGTTTGATACACGGTCAGCTGGTGAACAATACTAAGAGAAAACAAAATCAAGTTTACTTATCAGCTACTTTCTAATGAGTTAAATGTATTCACACTGTTCTTCACCAAAGATATTTATCTTTTATTACATGGCTATATGGCTATATCTTACAAGGACTGGGAACTACCGAATTCAAGAATTTGACTGGCTGAAATTTATGTTGAAAGCGGTCTAGTTTTTCCCATCTCGACCGGCATCTAGACCGGTAATGTCTTGCGCTGTACAATTTGCAAACTAAAACGTAAAAATACCGTCTATTTTCTTGTAGCAATAATTATTAATGGAAGTGCCAAAGAGCCTGATGAGAAAAGAAATGTAAAGAGGACGAGCAGATTTTGGCGGAAATAGGTTCAGCTCATCGCCGTTCGCAAGCAAAATGTCAACTAGTACAAACCAGTTACATTGAACGAATTAATTTTTTCTTGTTTGCCATACAATAAACAAGGAGAACAAGGAGAACCTTGACCTTGACCACTTGCTCCATTAATAAGAGCTAAATCGAGATGATGTTGGTAATCGCTGTCACGCAATGCTAGCATTGCGTGATAAAGAGAAGGCCAGATCATGTCTTTGTTTTACCATTCATCTTACCTAACCTCCTAAGTTACACCCGCTTTCGGTGTTACGTGCATAGCAGCTATCTCTCGACATGCCATCTTTCGACATGCTATGTAACCTGGCCTAAGTCAAAATGTAAGCACAAGTGGCTTCTTTACGGTCGAACTCGACTTTTAGTCATGAGAGATTGATTTATTTGACAACAAACCAAGGCTAGGAACATCAAGAAAACATTATGTGGGGGATAAATTGACTGCTTTGAATGTTAACATCTTTCGAATATTGACTGAGCGGTAGCGGCCCAATTCTACCGGAAGTCACTATTGAGAGCCGATCGACTACACTAAATTCGTTTGAATTATCCCGTGAATCGGGAGTCCACAATCTTTTTCATTCATTTGAGGTCAGTAATTATCATATACTTGTCATTTGTTCTGCTAATAACCGGAAAAATTACTAGTTTCACAGGTAAACGGTATTTCAGCCGTTTACATAGCATGTCGAAAGATGGAATGTCGAGAGATGGTCGAAAGATGTCGCCTATGCACGTGACACTGAAAGCGGGGGTAATATATTATGTCGTCGTTGTCCATTGGGAGGGGTGAAGAAACAAAAGCTCACAAACCCTCTTCACCATACCCCCTCCCCTCATGTGTCCACCCCGTTCCCCGTTGCGTGAGTTCTGATCTTCCGGGTTTATACGGAAGCCGGATTTTAATTACCGGCTGGCAAGAAACACGAGGCACGGATACCAACGTTCGGTTTTTTACCATCCCGACGATCCAGTCAAATCTTTTGGATTTTACTGACGGTATAAAAATTGAATTCTAGCCAAACATGAATGACGGGAGGCTAAACATGGCGATCTTTCATTTTCTTCGAGCAAGCACCAAACAGCATTTGAAAAAGACAAGATGCATATGCGCGTGCGGAAATAATATTCGCCTACTCGACTTAACCTATAACGTACCAAACTTCTAAAAACATAAATATATTGTTTCTTAATAGAGCTTCTATACTTCGCGTGTCAAAGGTGCTGGAAAAATCTCTAGACTTCCCAGCCTACGGACACAATTATTGACGTTCACTTTACACTAACCTTTCAACAATGCGGCGAGTACAGCGTGTCCTGGTTACCACAGAGGGTATGAAACTCCGTTGAGTTGCTACGAAGATCGTGTCGACGGTTATAATCGCCTATCATTCAACGACTTCAACCCAAACCGCGTTTTCAGCGACGAAATAAAATGTCCCGGCAGCCAAGTTCCAAAGCAAGCAGGAACTGAATAAAACGGGCGTTGTGCAATGAGCCCCATTATCATATTTTCCTTGAGTCAAAAGTTATTTTTTCCCTTCTGCTTCCATCTGCAATTTGTCAAGCGTGACGATCGAGCGTGACCCCATCACATGATTTAGTCAATGCATTTCCGGTTTTTCTTTCAGTTCTCTTTTTTCGTAAACGGAAATAAACATGGGAACAAAATACTTACTTTCCAGCATTTTCCCACACATTTGCTGAGACAGAATTCATAGCGAAACCTGCAGTTTGAAATAAGTTCTAAAACTACGCTCGATCGTAATTAATTCAAGGAATCGAAACCGATTTCTAGTTACACCTGATCTTGATTTCCTGTAAAAGTTAGCTATATTGATTCTTCTGACAGTCCGCGCCGGGGCTCTGATTAGGTTTTCCACATGAACGCACATAAAAAAAAAACACTCTTATTTTGTTAAACTCCTGTCCTACGAAATCTATACGATGTTTGCAGGACGATGTATTTGCAATACGTGTCACAAAGGCGAGCAAAGGTCAGTTCTCGGTAACTGGCACGTTATTTTGTTGTTCACTTTGTCAGTTAATACTTTAATTACGAATTGCATCGCTTCATCTGCGTCATTTAAAATTCTCGGAAATCATGGAACCGCACTGAAAGGAAAAATTAATGAAAGCAAGGGATTGTTTAGTGCTATTCAAGGAAACAAAAACAACCGACCGCTTGAAATTGCCGGTATCAATCATAAACAACGGGAAATACGTCAAAACCGGATTTAGCGAGATTTCGATTCAACAAATACGTTTGGTAGCTATATAGCATCCCATTCTCGTGACACACATATAGTACGCTGGACAAAATTGTTCTGGATCGACGTTTCACAACAAAAAATGAGAACAAGCAAAGCGATGCAAATACTCTTTTTCCTTGGCCATCGTAGCTTAATAAGAAATAACACACAAACTGCGGTGACAAACATGACAATAACACGCATTTTGGAAAACAAAATTCATTAACCTGACGTTTCGTATGTTTCGACATACAACTTCAGAAGTGACCGTTTGGAATAGAAGTAACAACTAAATTTAGACTAAAGATAAGTAACTGATTAACAATAACAGTGACAGAAGCTGAGAAAAATCTGCATATTAAAAGATGCAAACTAATAAAGATAAAGCTTTTCGCTGCTAACATTATCGGGTTAGGTTTCAATTCCCTAATTGGTAGAGTCTCCTTTATCTTGCAATGAGTATCTGACCGACATTTCGCCAATATATCAAAGTGGTCCCATTTTAAGTTGTGACCAGTTGAAGTGACGTGGTCTGCGATAGCACGACAGCTACTTGTGATCGCTTTAAAATGTTCAGTTTTTCTGTCATGTAATGTACGTTTTGTTTTTCTAATGTAGAAATTCTGACAGTCCCAACAACTAGCCTTAAACACAACTTTTGACATTAGGGAACGGTTGATTCTATCTTTATAGGGAAAAAAAGACTTGATTCGATGAGCGCTTTGGAAAATAACCCTAAGATTAATGCAGCCGTAAAATTTATTAATGCAGGTCCTCAGCTGTTTGGTAACAATTTTGCTTTGTAACCCTAAATAAGGTAGAAGTAAGATTATTTCCTTTTGGGGGACTGTGGTGATTGGTTTCTTCGGTCTGTTTTGCTGCCTGTTCAGAACATCATTAACGCTGTAATTGATAACACCAGCAGGGTATCCGTTTTTGTAACAACAACTTCCTCAGTTCATTCAAACAAGAGCGCAACAGGGAAGGTGACGAACAGATGCGGAAACAACGAAAAGTGAGCGTGCGGATGAGGTTTACTTTGTATTTCCTAGGTGTGATGGAGTCCCATTTTGTGTACAGGCCGATTAAGGTCTTCTTCCGGTACATAGATGTTGAGAAAGTATGACTAAGGCGTTTGATGAGAATGTCCAAGAAAGGGATTGTACTGTTCTCTTCAAATTTAACGGTGAACTTGATATTTGCGTGACATTTATTGAGGTAGTGTAGAAACTGAGTTGCTGTGATTTTATTGTCAAACAAGGTGAAGGTATCGTCAATGTACCGAAACCAAAGAGAAGGGCGAGCGTTGTTGTTAAGAACCCATTTCTCTTCAAAATGGCACATAAAGAAATTGGCCAAAACAGGACCTAAAGGAGAGCCCATAGCCACACCATCATTTTGTTCATAGTATTGGCCATCAAATATGAAATGGCAAACTCCAGCGATGCAAATAATTTTGTGATTGTCTTAAACCTTGTTGAATTCCACACATGGAAAGTTATTTTCATTTGCGTTACACGTATCTAAATTTGCAGACTGGATCACAAAAGTACGGAAAATAACGCAATTTCTGAGAAAAAATAGTCATATTTTTCATCGACATCGTAATGCAAGGCCGTTGTCGTTTTGCGAGCAAACATTGTTAAGTGACTTTTTGGTCATGAATTCGACGAGGAATCATGAGGAATGTGCAATGATCCATCAAAATAACACTTGTGACGCTACCACAGAAGAGCCACAAGGCAAACCAAACAAAGTGATTTGTAGCTCTTACTACCTGTGAGAAAATGTAAGAAAATAATAGCAGGCTCCTGGTAGATGAACACACAAACGGGTCCGGCAACTTCCCGAGAAGCACAAATAGCAGTGTCTGAAGCTCTTGACTGATAACGCTTAACACGGTAGCATCTTGTGCAACTGTGGCTTGTACGAATCTTCAAAATAGTCGGACCCGATCTAGTGGCAAGAACAGTTAAAAGACTTTAAACTGAAGAAGACCACTTTCTAAAGACATTATCGTATTTCAGCGGCCAAATAAGTTGTTTTTAAGTCTTTTCTCACGCCTCAATCAATCAACTTTATTTAGAGAGGGTGCCACATGACAGTATAAACTTATGAACTAGTTGCCCTCATGAGGCAGAGGACAACTCGGAAATAGCCTATTCAAATTTCAGAGGTAGTGGCCATCTGCAAAGTTAAAACACGTTACCGCTACCACATCAGTTTCTTTACTGATGTTGAGCTATCCTGGACTGGAGTTAATCAACAGTTATCCTAGCCGGTTCCTTCGCACGAAATGGTACATAAGCACCCCTAATTTTAGGAAGCGACCGCGTTAAAAATACATACTGTTAACTCCACTGTTGAAGCTTCCGCTGCAATTCACAATATCATTATTAGGAGCTCGCTCTATGAAGCTGTTGTTCTGCCTGCTGACTGGATTCCAAAGACGATAGTTGATGTTCTTCTTGATAGCGTGAGGCCTTTGAAAGATTTGTCCACCGGAACGGTAGGAGCCTCAATCAGAAAGTCTGAGAAAAAAAAAAAAAAAAAAAAGACTGCGTAAATTAATGGGACACTTCAAAAACGATACTATAATCCAGCCTCCTCATCCCTCATCCCTCTCTTTTTCCTACGAGGGTTAAAATTGGCATTGGTCTGTGCCAATATTCAAATGAAAGATTTTGCACGAAGATTCGTTTTGAAACAGAGGCAGAGGACAACTCGGAAATAGCCTATCGATTCAAATTTCAGAGGTAGTGGCCATCTGCAAAGTTAAAACACGTTAGCGGCGCCACATCAGTTTCTTTACTGATGTTGAGCTATCCTGGAGTTAATCAACAGTTATCCTAGCCTGTTCCTTCGGACGAAATGGTACATAAGCACCCCTAATTTTAAGAAGCGACCGTGTTAAAAATACATACCGTGAAATTCGCTGATAAAGCTTCCGCTGCAATATGGATGACCGTCCGCCAGATGTCCGTGCGCAACGTGACAATCAGACAAGGGTGTCATGCAGTGGAGGTGAGGCCAACAATGATGTTGTATCTGTGATGCAGCCTCACTAGAGGATTGCCTTGCAACCTAGTAACAAAGCCAAAAAAAGCACTAACTACAAATGAAAATGGGTAAACGAGTAGTAAACAGATTGAAAACCGGCTGAATACACAAATATACCAAAACAACTTCTCCTTACGTTTATGCGTCAAAATTAAACATTTTGGTTCAGTTACCAAAACTACTTTATAGCTTTCTATCTAGTGTAGCTCCCATCGATCTACACGAAAATTGAAACGAATGGGTCATAAAATAGTCTAAACAAATTGGAGAATCCAATGTCTTGAAGTATTTATACGATGTCTTTATTGTCTTTCTTTAAAAGAGAAATTTGTAGTAGTACATACTTTTAAGTATGTACTACTACAAATTTCTCTGTTAGTGAAAGACAATAAAGACATCTTTAAAAAGCTTTTCTACGCTAACAGCTGCCAGTTACAGAACAACAAGGGATGAGATCATTGTCACTTGAGAAAGACAATTACAAATCAAATTAGTGAATTAACAAATGCTCATGATTGACTGCGATGTTGTTTCGTAGTATTATTGACCGGGGCGATCCTGAAAGAGGTGTACAAAATGTACAAAACTCAGGGGAAAATGATATCCGTTTCATGTTAGTCTAAATAGCACACCTTTGTGGTTCTTCGAGTAAGATCACGTAGACCGAAAGACACGTGGACACTCCTCATAGATATTGAAAATAACAGCTAGAGTATCAAGGAATACCTGTTTTGCCTGGTCACCTTGGTCACCAAGGCTCGAGTCTTAATATCTTCTTCCAACCTTTTCTCATCTGAAAGTTCCACGTAATCTTTAAACTGGTCATCATAGAGTTGGAACTTGACTTGTGCTGGGGCGATATTACTTGATAGCACATCGGAAAAGACTGTAGGGAAACAGGCCTTAATTCTTGAACCTCTGCTCCTTTTTGATGCCATAGGACGCGCTTCGTTTCGTCAAAGGTCACATGGACTTTCACCGACTTAAGCATCCCTGAATATCTTAAATTCAAAGAGGATATGTACAGAATCATTATTTAAGAAATGGTGACCGTGCAGCGTGCAACTATCGAGTTATATATGCACGCGGGAGGTTGCTAAGCGCGAAAGAAGAGTAAGAGTGGCACGAGGCGTAGCCGAGTGCGACTCTAGCTTCTTGAGTGCTTAGCAAACCTCCCAAGTGCATATATAACTCGATAGTTGCACACTGCTCGCTCACCATTTCTTTCATAACATTGAGACTTGTGAAATAGTATATATTGAATATCGTCCGGCTTACATGAAGTCAAAAGCGCGATAAACCGCGCGAAAATGTTCATTCAAAAGCGACACATCAATATTTTTCTTGGATCACGGCGAGTTTTTAGTTTGCATTTTCTCGATCTCGGGCAAACAAACAACTTCAAACTGCTCGTTAACCTAAATATCAAACTGACAACAAACGAAAATTGCATTCGGTAAAAGTGTTCCTCAAAAGTTAATCAAGTTTAAATTTGGATCAGTTTTCCGAAGAAATGAAAACCAACTGCACATGGTTGAAGCTCTTGGTTGCTGAGCTCTCTGTCTTTCATGGTCTCTTCGGCAAAAGAAAAGAACAATATGGAACCAGACATTTCTGAAAAGCGAGAGTGGAGAAGAAAGCGAACAAACACTACTGGCTTTGAGCTGTTTGAGATGTTCTTATTAAATAGTAGGTTTGTGGGTTTCGTTTTCCATTCCACTTCGTTTTAAATTGATGAGTTGCGCGTCTAAGGCCGAACTTGAACACATAAATGGCTTTCTTTCTTTCGTTATTTGGTAAAATAAGCTTAAATGAACAGCAGACTGAGGCTTAAAGGAAATTGTCAGAAATGTAAGCTTATATTTGTACACGAGTCAG